CTCCTCTCCTTACACCTTTATACTTTGTATTGGACTGATGAAGCCACTGTGTGGTGAAACGTTTCCTGAATAAAGATTCCCATATGTTGCATAAGTGTCTCAATCTACAACAAAAAATTCAAAACCGTTTTCAGAAGACTTGTTAAATAATCTCAGTTACCAATTACATCAAGAAGCTTGTGCCAGCACAAAGAGCTCAGGGGTAACTAACACATGACGTACATCTTGCAAGAAAACACATATATTAAAAAATGAAACAAGAACTGGGCTGATGGCGGGAATCATAAACAGGTGAAGCGCCAGATAGAACACCATGAACACTGTAAAGCACCAGACAGAACACCATGAACACTGTGTGAAGCACCAGACAGAACACCATGAACATTGTGTGAAGCACCAGACAGAACACCATGAACATTGTGTGAAGCACCAGACAGAACACCATGAACACTGTGTGAAGCACCAGACAGAACACCATGAACACTGTGTGAAGCACCAGACAGAACACCATGAACATTGTGTGAAGCACCAGACAGAACACCATGAACACTGTGTGAAGCACCAGACAGAACACCATGAACACTGTGTGAAGCACCAGACAGAACACCATGAACACTGTGTGAAGCACCAGACAGAACACCATGAACATTGTGTGAAGCACCAGACAGAACACCATGAACATTGTGTGAAGCACCAGACAGAACACCATGAACACTGTGTGAAACACCAGACAGAACACCATGAACACTGTGTGAAGCACCAGATAAAACACCATGAACATTGTGTGAAGCACCAGACAGAACACCATGAACACTGTGTGAAGCACCAGATAAAACACCATGAACACTGTTAAATAAAATCAACAATTAAACAAGCCTTAATTAATGCCTTTACCACAAGAAAACAATAAAAATAATGCAAAAGAATCACTATATTACAAAAAAAAAATCATTTGTAAATCTTGTTACATATATGTGAGTAAGTTGCTGTTTTTTCTTTTTTGGCAAATGGCTTGAATACGTCCTGAGAACTCTAATGCGTGAGACCTCTGGTTAATACAGAGAAATGTCAAAGTTGAATTGCAATACACAGATACCCTGCACAATGGAGAAAAACTTATGACAATACAGTGGACCCCCGCTTTACGATCACCTCCCAATGCGACCAATTATGTAAGTGTATTTATGTAAGTGCGTTTGTATGTGTATGTTTGGGGGTCTGAAATGGACTAATTAATTCACAATATTCCTTATGGGAACAAATTCGGTCAGTACTGGCACCTGAACATACTTCTGGAATGAAATAATATCATCAACCGGGGGTCCACTGTATTTCAGTCTGATAGAAGAATCGTCACAAATTTCTTTCTCCCAAGTGTGGGGTTATTTGCACATTGTTCCAGCCACAGTACTGTGCCTTTTTATTCCTTCTGACTTGCAATAAAGGTAAATATTATGGGCCCTTTACTGACATCTATGTCCAAGCACTGCTAAGAAATTCTACAAAAATTTAGGGGAAAAGTTTATCTTGATAGGTAATACAGTGTTCAGTAACTTAGTTCATATAGAAAATGAACACATATTTTTTTTTTTTTTAACAAGTCGGCCGTCTCCCACCGAGGCAGGGTGACCCAAAAAAAGAAAGAAAATCCCCAAAAAGAAAATACTTTCATCATCATTCAACACTTTCACCACACTTACACATTATCACTGTTTTTGCAGAGGTGCTCAGAATACAACAGTTTAGAAGTACAGTGGACCCCCGGTTAACGATATTTTTTCCCTCCAGAAGTATGTTCAGGTGCCAGTACTGACCGAATTTATTCCCATAAGAAATATTGTGAAGTAGATTAGTCCATTTCAGACCCCCAAACATACACGTACAAACGCACTTACATAAATACACTTACATAATTGGTCGCATTCGGAGGTAATCGTTATGCGGGGGTCCACTGTATACACATATAAAGATACACAACATATCCCTCCAAACTGCTAATATGTTCTCTTAAATATCATCACCAAAAGCAGGAATGATGTCCAGTATCATCAGTATCTTCTACTGATATAGAAGATACTGACAAAAGTTGCACAACTACACTGCTGTAGAAGATACTGATGTAAGTAGCACAACACTTCTCCTCAGTCTGGATCATCAGGTTAACCTCACTGTAACTATTACAGTTCCTAGTCTGGATCATCAGATTAACCCCACTGTAACTATTACAGTTCCTAGTCTGGATCATTGGGTTAACCCCACTGTAACTATTACAGTTCCTAGTCTGGATCATCGGGTTAATCCCACTGTAACTATTACAGTTCCTAGTCTGGATCATCGGGTTAATCCCACTGTAACTATTACAGTTCCTAGCCTGGATCATCAGATTAACCCCACTGTAACTACTATTACAATACTAACAGTTTCTCTCTTAGTCTGGTCTATTATTTACCACTGTCTCAAATTTTAAAAAAAATAATTTAATTCAAATTTTTTTCTTGGAAATTCACTTTTCTGAAGACCAAATGCTCAGAATTTTAATTTGGAATCCTTTCCAATTTGGAAATGCTTTCTACGAGAATGTTAGCTTTCTGTTGCAGCAAACACCTGTACAATGCACATGTTGATTATTGCTAACGGAATACAGTGGTGCCCCGAGTTTTGTACAGCTCCGAGCTCTAACAATTATGTAAGTGTATTACTGTAAGTGCTTTTGTAAGTGTATTTTTGGGGGTCTGAAATGGACTAATCTAATTTACACTATTCCTTATGGGAACAAATTCATTCGGTAACGGCACTCGAACAGCCTTCTGGAACGAATCATGTACGAAACTCGGGGTACCACTGTATTTGTTATGCTTTGACTATCGGTGATTATTTCTAGCTAAATATTAGTTTTGCTTTGACCATCTCAACCTCAAGAGCATGGTACTTCCTCGTCACAATGTGGTTTGAATCTAGGGAGAAAAAAAAAATTACAATGTCACACCACCCCAAAAACATGGTGGTTTATTCGCTGGTAAACAATGCATGGTGTTTCCCGACATGAGTCTTAATCAGATGACCTATCACTAGATAAGCATATCCTGATGTAATGAAGCTAGGCTGTGCACCCAATTAAAAAACAAAGGATCATTACATGGTAGTGTAACTTAGGATATACTAAAGATATGTAAAGTATTCCTCAACCCCACACACCTCAGGCTGAGCTGCAGGGACAGAAACCTCAAAACCAACCACAGACGTGCTTATTTTATTTTAACATACTGGCCGTCTCCCACTGAGGCAGGGCGACCCGAAAAAGAAAAACTTTCACCATCATTCACACTTTCACTGTCTTGCCAGAGGTATGCATGTCATATTTCAAGTAAGAGATAAATAACACTGCAGTCTATGTTATCAGTACATCCAGTACAGAATTCACGATTTTTTTAACCCAAGGAACCATATTATTATTTTTATATTCATGGCTAAGCACTAAGCCCACAGGAATCATACAGCACCTGGGAATGGGACATAATCATACAGCACCTGGGAATGGGACATAATCATACAGCACCTGGGAATGGGACATAATCATACAGCACTGGGAATGGGACATAATCATACAGCACCTGGGAATGGGACATAATCATACAGCACCTGGGAATGGGACATAATCATACAGCACCTGGGAATGGGACATAATCATACAGCACCTGGGAATGGGACATAATCATACAGCACCTGGGAATGGGACATAATCAGGTTTGATCCAAGGAAGGGGAGCGTAGTTCTAATACCTTGTGTGAGGAGCCCTTCAATAGCATCAAGGCATTTCCCATGAAGAGCCAAGAGGCCGTAGTTGACCATAATTCACAATAAGAAAATTTAAATCTTGAGAACAATTATCTTATCACACATTTTTGTTTTTCAGTTCACGCAAGTGGAAAAACTCCTTTAGACAAACCAGCATGTAAAAGCCTTAGACAAATGTCTTAAGTGTTTCTGTAAAAAAATATTTATTACAGGAGGTCCTCAACTTACAAATGCCTCAAGTCACTCACATTAGCACCTGCAAACAGAGGATCTTAAGAACTAAAAGTTTTACAAGTGTAAAGTTGCAGCGTGTACACATATAAATCATATCCATCTTTGACATAATACTGTTTTCTACACAAATAACTCAAGTTAACAGACCAGGAATTCAACTTGTAAGTTAACGTCCTCCTGTACTCTACGATATTTGAAATATCGATGGAAATTCCTAAATATTACTACCCCTTCAAGGACAGGAAGATCCAAGAGGGACCCCAAGAACACAGCGTTCAAGATATGGGAAGTAGAGAAAATATGAACTCATGTCAATAACAGAAAGTGAACTCTTGGAACATGGAATACAGCCCATGCCTTAAATAAATGCAAAAAATTATACATCATATTATAAACCTAATCTGTGGCAACATAAAAAGGCCCATTTATTTTGGGTAAGAAATAATTGCCACTTGTGTTGAACTATCAATCTACATGTTCGAACACAATATTTCTAGTCCATTTACAAGACTCAAATATTTTAATGTGTTCTCAGTGGTACCTTAAATGTTGGTTTAGTAGAGGAGATTCTGATGTGTGCATGGGGGCTGTCAGGGAGGAGGGAAGAGAAAGCAGAGTCAAGCGTCCTACTGTCATGACAACAGTGTTGCATAAAACAAGGGGAGGGGAAGATGTAATGCATCAAAACAATTACTGCAGGAAATAAAGCAAGATAATGCAAAAAGTAACACCTGAGAGAATCCAGTGAATGTGTAACTACACAACTTAGGGATCATTAGAACAGGAAAATAACTAAATTCAAATTATAATCTAAAGTAAAACTTTGAAACAAGCAGATACAAAAAATTTACTCTAAAAAAAGGAATACTTTATAGGAAATAATTTATCTAAACATTAACATTAAGCAGTAGCAATATAGAATATTCTTTTACAGAAAACATTAAATAAAAAATTTAATGAATAAATCTTACCATCAGGTTTTTTATCCAGAGGCTCAGTCTTAAGTTGATTGGTAGTGGGTTGACTGACAATGATGGAGGGTTTAGTGGAGGAGGGCGAGGACTGTACAGAAGATGACGGACTGGGCTCGACACACGCTACAGACGTAGAAACATTCGAGAGAGGTGGAGTCATAATGGAAGAGGAATTAGAGGATGGTGGGCCCTCAGAGTAGTGTTGTTTCTTTGGTGGGATTGCCATAGTTATTGGGGGTGGGGACCGCATCTTGCGCTTCATTCGATCATCTTCTGTGGCCCTGATGTCTACAGGCTCCTCTTTCACCTAGGAAAACAATACAATTACTGAGTATTCATTTTTATTTCTAATGCACAAAAAAAAAAAAAAATATCAGTTTTGAAAAAATTCAACTTTTTAACCAGGAAGTATAACTTCTGATGAGTTATGAGAGTTTTTCTACTCCCAGAGCCCAGCCATGGACCAGATTCATCTGGTGCTAGCCTGGTCAACCAGGCTGTTGCTGCTGGTTGCCTACTAAAGGTGTCACCCTTCTCACAAGCTGCACCAGCCATTCATAAGAGGCATGTATATATTTTTTTATTAACACATCGGCCGTTTCCCACCGAGGCAAGGTGGCCCGAAAACGAAGAAACACTTTCATCACTCGCTCTATTGTCTTGCCAGAGGCATGTTGATGCTACAGTTAAAAAACTGCAACATAAATACCATACCATTTTAATAATAAAATTGACAAATAGAGATCAACACACTGCAATAACAATGCCAACCGTCTTCAAAGTAGGTTACATCAGGGTTGAAAGTCTGAAGCTGGTCAGAAGAGACTTCCTAGAGTTATCACATGGGAACCAAAATAGGGAGTAATCGATATCAAACTGATCATAGGCCACCTGCACATGCCAAGAGCACCATGAACTTTTCCCTAGTTTACCCTCAAAAATTGAAAGCCAATTGAACAAGGTGTCTTAATTTTTTTTTTTTTTTAACAAGTCGGCCGTCTTCCACCGTGGCAGAGTGATCCAAAAAAGAAAGAAAATCCCCAAAAACAAAATACTTTCAGCATCATTCAACGCTTTCAACTCACTCACACATAATCACTGTTTTTGCAGAAGTGCTCAGAACACAACAGCTTAGAAGCATATATTTATATAAAATTTATATATAAAAACAGAGTAAGAAAAGAACACTGTAGCCGAGTATATGACAAACCCTAGAATAATATCATATGAAAATGTAATATCTAAGGGCTCGGTAAAGTCCCAAAACTTAAAAATTACATAAAAATGTGATTATTCATTAACTTTCAGCTATCTTCTGTCAGATATATTTTATTTCAAACTATCTACAAAACCTATAATATAAAATGGTCTTTGTTCTTAAGCAACTGGAATTTACATACCTCCCATGAGATATCCAGATAGAACCATGGGATACCCAGATAGAACCATTAGGTACCCAGACAGAGCTATGAGATACCCAGACAGAACCATGAGATACCCAGACAGAACCATGAGATACCCAGACAGAACCATGAGATACCCAGACAGAACCATGAGATACCCAGACAGAACCATGAGATACCCAGACGGAACCATGAGATACCCAGACAGGACCATGAGATACCCAGACAGGACCATGAGATACCCAGATAGGACCATGAGGGACTGAGTAAAATTTTTCAAACAGGCACCTACATAGTCCAACACCAATCTGAAAATTCCTCTAAGTCAGAGATATCAATGTTGAAGGTTTGAAGCCAATCTCACAAGGCAGTCATAAATTTTCTCAGAAAAATCAAAATTTCAATTTTCACAGTTTCTTCCAGAAAACTTACAAACTGGCATCTACACTGTTTAAGATTAATCCAAATTTTCTCTAAGATACATCATCACCCAGGGTTTGAAACCGATCAGAAACTGCATTCTTCACCGAGGCAGTGTGACCACCACCGAGGCAGGGCGACCACCACCGAGGCAGGGTGACCACCACCGAGGCAGGGCACACCACCAAGGCAGTGTGACCACCACCGAGGCAGGGTGACCACCACCGAGGCAGAGCACACCACCAAGGCAGTGTGACCACCACCGAGGCAGTGTGACCACCACCGAGGCAGGGCAACAACCACCGAGGCAGGGCGACAACCACCAAGGCAGGGCGACAACCACCGAGGCAGAGCAACAATCACCGAGACAGAGATCACCACCGAGGCAGGGTGACCCAAAAAGAAATAAAAACCCAAAAAGAAAGAAAAAACTTTCATCATCATTCAACACTTTCACCAACACTCATGCATAATCACTGTCTTTGCAGAGGTACTCAGATACAACAAATATGAAGTCTTTACCTTTGCTTGAAGATGAGGTCTGTTGATGAAACGAGCATGCAATGTTGCAGCAAGACCCTCAACAGGGCCATCAACTGGCAACCCTCTAGCTTCATTAAAGTGATGGACAGGTGCCGCCTCAGTTCTCGGCAGTGTTATGGTACGATTTTTACTAGCATCAGCCGACACTATGGGCCCTGCAGGAGTTAGGGGTGGAGTGGCCTGGGAGGTGGGCGGGGTGGATGGGGGACACTTATTGCCATACATGGATGCAAGCCGTGCCTCTAAACCATCTCTCCCTGGTGATGGTACTGGTGGAGGCATACGTGGCTTTTCTTCAAACTGTGGGCCTCTCGGTGATTTTACCCTAGGGTACATAAGACCTTCTATTGCTTGTGGTGTATGTGGTGTAGGAGGGAGTGACTCGGTGCTATTGGGACGAGAAATTGGAGAATATACCATCCTGAGTGCTGGCGACTGTTGACGGCTATCAACATTGTCAGGAGTGTGAGGCTTGCCATAACTCTCTTCCACTATTCTTGATATTCGGGAATTAGGACGTGGAGATATGGGCTTTCCTGAGATAGTCATATCAACGGCTGCATTGATGATAGACTGAGATGAAATCTCTAAAGTACGCTCAACTTCACTACTTATAAGATCTCCAACATTTCTAGTGATAGTTGAAGTTTTATGGGCACCCGGGGAACTACATTCCAGTGCAAGTTTCTCCTGAGAGAGATGACGTCTAAGGGCTAATTTGGCAGGCGATACTTGTGTATAATCGGGTTGACCAATTTTTGACTCTCTTAATTCCCGTAACTCCCGGATTTCTCCTCTTCTCTCTCGATTATCCCTCTTGTCAGAGCGATTTGCTCCAGGTGATGGATAAGGAGAGTGAGCTTGTGATGTTAAAGGGGACGGTCTAGGAGGCACTGCTTGTGATAGAGGTTTGTCCTCATTTAAAACATTTGTAATAATCAATTTCAGACGATCTTCAAAATCTGCAACTCTGGGAGGTTCATGAGCACGGATCATGGAGAAAGATCTTTGGTTCTTCTCGGAAGGAAGTCGAACTAAAGGAGGCTGATACTTGGTTTCAGGTTGTTGGAGCAACTCGGGCTTAGTTGGTAGTATATTAACTGGGATATACCTCTGGGATAGTACTACCACCCGCCCAGGTTCCTGGTTCACATGAGGAGGTTGGGTTCGAGTATCAGCTTGCCTGGGTTCTGTCAGGTGTTGTCCACGTATGTTTTCCACATTAACGGGTACACGCCCATCATGCACTCTAACTTCCGTCCCAACAGGTAATGCAGGGATACGTCCAGCTTCAATTTGTCTCCCAGTTTCCAAAATCTTCTGAGCCAAGATTTCTGGATTTTTCTCTTCAATTTTCCCAACATCGGGTATATTTGGCCATTCTTGGTTGCGACTCCGGTGTCTGGTTTTATGTCTCCCTGGAGACTTATCAGCGCGCTGAGCAGCAGTGGTAGTGCGGGCACTATCAGGGGCAGTACTCTCAAGATTGTTGACTTCAGATTCCAGTCTAGACACTTGAGAATGAAGTTTTTTCCTTTGTGACAAAGTTTGAGATATTTCCCGTAAGATGAACTCCTGAGTTAGGTGAGACACATCCAGACTCTGTAAATAAACACTTCATGAAGTTCTGGATATAAAAAATAATAGTTTAATTTATTCTATATTTTGAAAGAAAAAAAAAAAGGCACAATACCATGACAGGAACAATGTACCAATAACCTGCACATAGGAGAAAGAAGTTTACCACGACATCTCAGTCCCACCTGGACCATTTACGAAGTCCAAGTCAAACCAAAACATCATTGTAAGCTTCTCTTTCCTGTGTGTGGGTTATTTGTGTACATTATATTATAATCCCCCTCAAAAAAAAAAATATATATATTTTTCTATGAACCAAAACTAAGAAACTGCTGTAAGTTAATAAAAAGTACATTGATTCAACATTTTTATATATTCTAAGGTAAAGTATTCAGGTCCATATATTTTCCCAGACATTAAAAAAATCACACTTTTTTAAACTAAGATATCATTAGCACCATCTGAAAGCTCCTTTAAATATGATAGCCAAGTCAGCATATTCTTTTAAAATATCCAAGGTGCTCCTTCAAGAATCCTTGAGACGGCATAATTTCTATATTTTTTTGCAAATTATAAACAAGATTAATAAAGGCCACATACATACATATACATCTAACTTAAGTATCCATGTCACTAACTCAGCCATATACATCTAACACAAGTATCCATGTCACTAACTCAGCCATATACATCTAACACAAGTATCCATGTCGCTAACTCAGCCATATACATCTAACACAAGTATCCATGTCACTAACTCAGCCATATACATCTAACACAAGTATCCATGTTGCTAACTCAGCCATATACATCTAACACAAGCATCCATGTCACTAACTCAGCCATATACATCTAACACAAGTATCCATGTCGCTAACTCAGCCATATACATCTAACACAAGCATCCATGTCACTAACTCAGCCATATACATCTAACACAAGTATCCATGTCACTAACTCAGCCATATACATCTAACACAAGTATCCATGTCACTAACTCAGCCATATACATCTAACACAAGTATCCATGTCACTAACTCAGCCAAAGGCACTAACACAAGTATCCATGTCACTAACTCAGCCATATACATCTAACACAAGTATCCATGTCACTAACTCAGCCAAAGGCACTGAGCCATCAACGAGAAAAGACTCTGTGGTAAAGTATCTTCACTCACTCCATTAACAAGTCCATTCCTTCTATACTTGTTGATGATCTCGTGTTGTCTCAGCCTCACTAACTTATCTTGCTCATCTTCGCTGATGTTACTTGCTGCTGAAGTGAAGACACATTGGCTTGAAGCTCTTTGTGTCTCCATACAATCTCCTGTGGGTTATGCATGTGTTAATCATTGCTTGCTTTAATAATTAATAAGCAATAAATATTAAAATTTTAAGCTCACATCCATACAAATAAGCATGAAAATATTGATAGAATAATGACATTAATCAATTAATTACAAAAGATTTCAAGTCACTCAATCACTTAATGAATGAGGAATTGGTGATCCCACTGTCCACCACTTAGATCAAGAGGATGTGGTGATCTCACTGACCACTACTTAGATCCAGAGGATGTGGTGATCCCACTGGCCACTACTTAGATCCAGAGCATGTGGTGATCCCACTGGCCACCACTTAGATCCAGAGCATGTGGTGATCCCACTGGCCACCACTTAGATCCAGAGGATGTGGTGATCCCACTGTCCACCACTTAGATCAAGAGGATGTGGTGATCCCACTGTCCACCACTTAGATCCAGAGGATGTGGTGATCCCACTGGCCACTACTTAGATCCAGAGGATTGTGACCACTGCCACACTAATCCAGAGGATGTGGTGATCCCACTGGCCACCACTTAGATCCAGAGGATGTGGTGATCCCAGTGGCTACCACTCTGTGATGCACACAGCCCAAAATCCCTGCAATAAAATTGGTGACTGGACTGGGGGACCCAACTTTTCTACATTCTATTAACAGAGGAACCTGTAAGGAACCAAGTGCTTGGTGCTCCTGCCAAGGTAGGAATAGCTGTGTGTAATGTAAGAAGGATCCTGGAAAGAACCTAGTGCTTGGTGCTCATGCTAGTCGCCTCTTACGGAGGAAGAATTCTGTTCCACTTCCCCATGGAGATAAGAGGAAATAAGCAAAAACTAGTAAGAAAATAGAATAAAACCCAGAAGGGTGTGTATATATATGCTTGTACATGCATGTGTAGTGTGACCTAAGTGTAAGTAGAAGTAGCAAGACGTACCTGAAGTCTTGCATGCTTTTTTTTTTAACACGGCCGTTTCCCACCAAGGCAGGGTGACCCAAAAAGAAAGAAAGAAAAAACTTACATCATTCAACACTTTCACCATCATTCATACATAATAGCTGTCTTTGCAAGAGGCGCTCAGATACGACAGTTTAGATGTCCCTCCAAAGTGCCAACATCCCAAACCCCTCCTTTAAAGTGCAGGCATTGTACTTCCCATTTCCAGGACTCAAGTCCGGTTAATCAGTTTCCCTGAATCCCTTCACAAAATCTTACCCTGCTCACAGCTCGTCAGGTCCCCAACACCATTCATCTCCATTCACTCCTAACACACTCATGCATGCTTGCTGGGAGTCCAAGCCCCTTGCCCACAAAACCTCCTTTACCCCCTCCCTCCAACCTTTTCGGGGATGATCCCTACCCCGCCTTCCTTTCCCTACAGATCTATTCACTCTCCATGTCATTCTACTTTGTTCCAATCTCTCTAAATGACCAAACCACCTCAACAGCCCCTCTTCAGCCCTCTGACTAATACTTTTAGTAACCCCACACCTCCTCCTAATTTCCACACTTCAAATTCTCTGCATAATATTTACACCACACATTGCATGTTTACGAGACAGAAAAAAGATGCCAGTAATCCCACCATCGTGTAAAACAGTTACAGGCTTCCGTTTAACACTCATTTGGCAGAATGGTGGTACCTCCTGGGCAGTTGCTGTCTACCAACCTACTAGCCAAGGTTTCTGTATCATAGAAAAAAATTTTATACATTAAAATAGCATTAATTAAATCTAACAATACAATGTAAATCACAACTACCTTAGCTCTATTTAACAAGTCTTCAGGGTTGGCTGCCGTCATGCCCAGCTCAGAGATACGCGACCGCAGAAGAGCCACAGAATCATCGATGAGAACCTTAATTTGTCGTTCAAGCTGCGCTGCTCGTGATTTTAAGGACTTGTTCTTTTCCTTTGTTGAGAACAAAGTTATTTGTCATTTTTTCAGCAATATAGAAATACTTTATTCATAATAATGAACAAGACACAGTATAATACAGTGGACCCCCGGTTTACGATATTATTTCATTCCAGAAGTATGTTCAGGTGCCAGTACTGACCGAATTTGTTCCCATAAGGAATATTGTGAATTAGATTAGTCCATTTCAGACCCCCAAATGTACATATACAAACGCACTTACATAAATACACTTACATAATTGGTCGCATTGGGAGGTGATCGTAAACCGGGGGTCCACTGTATTGTAATTAAGAATTATCTAAGTAAGACATGTGCAACATTTGGGTATCTTTATTGTGCAGATGTTTTACCAACCAGTGGCTTTATTACTCTAATACATAGAATAATTACTGGAGACAGTGAAGAGGTAATGTTAGGTGATCAGTCCCTAAATGCTGAGGGACTGATAACCTCAAAAACTTTACATCATCTCTGCTAATTATTTTCTGTACTGGTAAAACCACTGACTGATGAAATATCTCCACAATAAAGATAACTAAGAGTTACATGCATCATATTCACCTACTAGTCAAGAATTGTTTAACAAGGTTATATAATAAATTACTCCATCATACGTAGAATTTACAGAAAATCAACTCTTCATAATTATACAGCATAGAATTTACATTGCACTTTTACTTATTTACAGTGTAATGCTCTACAACAAAAATGCTTAAAAACATGAAATGAATCTCTATACAGCCTCTCCTCACTTAAGAGACGTACTCGTTTACCGACGCCTCGGACTTACGACGGGCTCTCTGACCAGTATGCATACCTAAATGTATATTAGAGCTAATTTTCCCTATTCTGTTTATTTCAATAAACAGTAAACTACTGAATAAATATTTAAAAATATACCAGAAATGTTATAAATGGTGCAAAGGTGACATTAAAACCATATCAAAGATGGTCGACACACACTCACTACTATCATAGTATGCTCCTCACTTAGCAACAAATTTGTTTAACGATGTGGTCTCAGGAATGGAACTCCATCATTAAGTGAGGAGAGGCTGTATATAATTTACTATTAATGAAGAGAATTTACCTTCTCGGCCTCTATTTGCTGCATCACAAAATCCTTGTACTCTGGCTTCTTGATGGAGTCTAGCATATTAAGAAACTGTTGGCGGAAAACATCCAACAACACTTCTAATGCATAAGGGGTGTCTGAAGGTGGGATGGGCAACTCTTCATGTCGAAGAATACCGCTGACGGTGGATGGCGTAAAGAGAGACAACTTCTGATCAACACAACCTGGCGCGGGGTCTTTGAAAGTAGGTGACTTGCCTGCAGTGTATGCAACAACACAAACAACAACATTATATGGCCACTAAAATCAGACATGGGTTAAGAACCTAGATTATATAATACAATATATACATTTTAAGAAAATATTAACAGTATTTTATATACAAGAAAGAAGCGAATAAGACAATGCACATAGATCAACACCTAAAGGCACGTGATGTTCATTCACCTTCTACTGTAAGTCTTATCAACAATCTAACTACTATATACTATCCACATTTCATATCTCTTAAATAAAAACAACAGATCAGTAATATCACTCATTGTATCAGCCAAAAATTTTTTTAAATAAAATGGATTGTACAAAGTTGTGTACCAATACACTGTGTTATCATGAAGCATTACTATGGAAATCGAGCATAAGCTCTTGTTTTCTCTTGTACTAACTTCTTTAGTCACAGCATCCTTGCTGGATATATCTATGCAATACTGAGGAATATAGTCAAGTTAAACAACATATTAATGAACACTTTCTGCAGAGGACTATAAATGATGATAGAGGTAATAACTGCAGACGCCTGTAATAGGATGTCAGAGAACTGCTCTCACATAATGATCGCTGCTTCATAATGCTCTCACTCTTGACAACATTACCTTCACACTCTCTGTTTTTTTCTTCCATTAGCTGTTAATTTTGAAGAGTGGATGCATTTTGAGATCCAATGTTAACAAGTTGCATGAATAAATAACCTTTCCAGATGCAAAGAAAATGTTGCAGCTCAAGACAAGTTAATATCTTGTAAATATATTCATATATATGTCTTAATCTAAGTCAGAATTATATTGGTTTTAAGCTGCCCAGACTAGAATTTTGGTACATGAAGTCTTGTATAACTACAGGACATTCATCAAATTTAATTTGCTAATAACTGGGACACAAACATGCTAGTAAGATCTCTCGATCAGAATTCTATTAGTGGTCAGCATTCTTTCACACACAAAGGAAAAAATAAGTTTTTATTTAAGATTGATCCCTGAAATTTAAAATTTTCCTATCGAGATGCATTTGCTTATTCTTAATTGGGATTTCATAAAATTTTGCCATTTCTTTTCTGAATAAATGAATGTTTTATGGAAAGTCCAAATTCAGAATACTCAATTTCAAACTGGATCTCTCTCAATTTATTTTTTCTTCTGAACACTTGCATGTATACATTCTTATGAGCTAGAATGACATATAATCTAGACTCCAGTGTATACATTACTAGAGTAGGATATATACTGCAGTATTTTTATGCATCTTTATCTATTGGAGCTATATCTGTGGTTTTTAAATCAACTTTGCTTACAAGTTATCAAGAGCATGAACAAAGGTAGAAGTTACAATACACACTACTATATATTTGGTCAGTAGTATTTTAAACATTTTCTATTTCGAGAGTTAGCCGGGGAGACAGAAAGGCAGCGATTATCATGGTGAGGAAATGGGGCAAGATTTATGGCAAGGCATAATGGGGATTATCATAAATGGGAAGTAAAATATGAAGACAGTATCATAATGTGAAACATTACAATCACAATGATGCATTTTACTGGATGTCCCAGTGTGTTGGACATCCAACAGACTTGTGCGAGCATGTTAGAGAGGAGCAACTGGAGGCAAATGGTTTTTATGATTTGACATGCTGTTGGAGTATGAGCAAGGTTAACATTTATGAAGAGGTTGGAAGCACAGTGCTTGCACTCTGAAGAAGGTGAGGGCATGTTAGGTTTGGAGGAGTGTTGAAAGTAGTTCTTTTGTAGATTAACCTGCCTCGTTGGACATGCTGGCAATAAAAAAAAGATACTATGTAATGTGCAAGTCATATGCTTCACGTGAGAAGAATATGTGTTGATGTGAGAGAAATTGAAAAAAATGAGGTGGTAATCAGGCGCAGAGCAAGCCATCAAAAAATGATTGAACCTCATGCATTCAGCATTCGTGATGGCCACAACCTCCTTCCTGGCATTAATTACTGTCTATAAACATGAGAGAGATAAACTAGAATCATTCGTGCTGGGAAGGTGGAATCAGTGAATTGAGGAAAAAAGGGTAGCTGGAATTCTCTGGGATAAAAACCCATTCATCAAAAAAGGCACTACATTACGAAATGCAAGCATGTATCAGCATAGTTCATGAGTGCCTTGTACATCTTCCCAATACAACGTTATAGTCTGTAATTGACTGACATTAAAATGCGCTTGACTCGACTGAACTAACCATCAGAATTTGTGCTGAGTAAGGTTTGTGTATGAAGAAGGTCTAGTCCATTGATCTTGATAGGTTTCTTTCCTGACCGATGTGATCTCTTTCCTCCCCTTCTGCTGTTGCCGAGGGTTGTACGTCTAGGGCCACGAGTCTGTTAAAGAGAGACAAGCCACACAATTAAGAATGTCTTAAATTGTTAATGTGTAGTGATATACCACAACATGCTGGTCTAGTAGTGGTAACAATCTTTAAAATTTGGCCACACTTCACACATTATTACCTACAAATGCATTAGACACAATACCAAGTTGCACTGTTATTTTGGCTAATTTCAGCAGGTTAGTTTTTGTTTTTATGCACCAGAGAATGGAAATGGAGAAGGAGTGAAATACAAAATAAAAAATCCTTTTGACAAAGAGAGAGAGAGAATTAAGAGAGAGATTGAGAGAGGGAGAGAGACAGAAGCAAGAGCAAGTGGGTGTAAGAAGAGGGCATGAATGAGGAAGGTGAGAAGAGGACTCACCGCCACAGGAGGGTCAGGGTCATCCACAATAGATGGTTTTGACGCTGCTGCTCTTCTCTGAGTATTTCTCCTCCGTGTTCCGGCACTTGTATGTCGAGTTGCCCCATTGTTGACATTTTCATCATTCTCGTCTGCTGAGCTTCGACAAGATGAGCCTTTTGGTGTTGTTTTTGCTGATGAGGAAGAATTTACTAGAGTTGAACTGGAACACCAGTCATTCCATGCACGTCGAGTGGTTGGACCAATTATTGGGTCATCAAGGTCCTTGTTTTGGTCAGATGAGTTGTTTGAGGACGTTTCAGAATTGATGGAGGCCTTATTAAGGTCCCTCCGAACTCTGCGCACACCAGGCGACTCATCCTCCTAAAGCCCAGGAGTAAACTTTAGATTTTGTTAAGTTTACGATCATGAGCAGCACACACTCATGCACACATACAATGATACTGTCTTGTTTTGAAGACTTTTATAGGACGAGTGTTTTCGCATTTTATAAACAAAGAGATTACACATTTATTGATGTGTTCCAAATACTATTTTCCTCAAAGACAACTCTATTACAGACTTGTGTACCTAATCCTCAACCATGTAACACATCATCCAGTGTCTGTTAACTTACAAAACACCTGGCTCATCTTGGATGTATCATTCACCACTCAAAACGTGGATTATTTTATAAAATTTGTATAATTGTTGATGAAACATAGAAATATTTATTACATTTTGGTGTGTTGTAAGTTCAGAACACTAATAAAACACACAACTGTACTACCTCTAAATCAGTACATAGTACATTCTCTGATTCCTTTCATCAATTTTCTTGTTTCACACAGTTTTCAATCTGAATGCTTTCTCCTCCCTCTTCTTGCCAAAGAGAAAAGTAATACTAGGGCTCATAGGCCAAGCCTAGTAGAAGAGTCTTAGTATAAAGCAGAAGGTAAGAAGGCCAAAGTAAACTACCAATCAAGAAAGGATTAGTCAGATAAGCCTTGCTCAACAAGAGCCGTGGAAGACAGACTGTGTTGCAGCTTCCAGAGCCGTGGAAGACAGACTGTGTTGCAGCTTCCAGAGCCATGGAAGACAGACTGTGTTGCAGCTTCCAGAGCCGTGGAAGACAGACTGTGTTGCAGCTTCCAGAGCCGTGGAAGACAGACTGTGTTGCAGCTTCCAGAGCATGGAAGACAGACTGTGTTGCAGCTTCCAGAGCCATGGAAGACAGACTGTGTTGCAGCTTCCAGAGCCATGGAAGAGACTGTGTTGCAGCTTCCAGAGCCATGGAAGACAGACTGTGTTGCAGCTTCCAGAGCCGTGGAAGACAGACTGTGTTGCAGCTTCCAGAGCCGTGGAAGACAGACTGTGTTGCAGCTTCCAGAGCCGTGGAAGACAGACTGTGTTGCAGCTTCCAGAGCCGTGGAAGACAGACTGTGTTGCAGCTTCCAGAGCCGTGGAAGACGATGTGTTGCAGCTTCCAGAGCCGTGGAAGACAGACTGTGTTGCAGCTTCCAGAGCCGTGGAAGACAGACTGTGTTGCAGCTTCCAGAGCCATGGAAGACAGACTGCGTTGCAGCTTCCAGAGCCATGGAAGACAGTGTTGCAGCTTCCAGAGCCATGGAAGACAGACTGTGTTGCAACTTCCAGAGAGGCTTAGTCAACCGTTCCACCCCATTTTAGTTGGGTATGGAAGATGGTTCATAAACAAAAAAAAAAACACAAAAAAAAACAAGAGACAAGAAACACAAACTTTTAAAAGTATTTTACTGAAATGCACACACAATTTTCAACTAGTGAGATACTGAAGAGGAAATGGTTTGCATTTTACTACTACTACGAACAGTATACTCTCTTAATCTTCATTTTTCCAGGCAACCTAATATATTTGGTTTCCCTAATGCACTTTATTAAAATTAAAATACATAATGTACTGACACTACCACACTAGCCTGATACCTGAAAGAGGTTACCTGAAGCCTCCTAACCTATTGCTATTCTTGCATGTTTACCTGAAGCCTCCTAACCTATTGCTATTCTTGCATGTTTACCTGAAGCCTCCTAACCTATTGCTATTCTTGCATGTTTGCCTGAAGCCTCCTAACCTATTGCTATTCTTGCATGTTTCACCACTACGAACATAGCAAGATGTTTACACAGCACTGGTTACCTGAAGCCACAACTCAATTTTGCATACCTGGGCCCTAACCATAATATCTACTCTTGCATTTATTAAGCCTCCTCTTTCTACATTTGCATGTATACCTACAATGCAAGATTTCCTCGATCCAACAAATGCAACAAACAAATTTGAACATTGCAACATAAATAAAATTAGACAATAAATACACCTTTTACATATTATACCAGATGAATTCAACACTAGGAATCAGTATGTTGCGATGATGACAATCTAATCATATAACAGGATTTAACATGTATTAAAAAGGTGCTAAAGCAATTTCTAAATGGCAATAGGAGTGGAAACTAACATTGGTGCCGTATACAAACAAAATAACAATACTTGTGCCATATATGAACAGTACTGACGCCATCCTTTAACAATGCAACAACATTGGTGTCACATATGATCATAACATTGGTGCCATATATGAACAATATAACAGCACTGTTAGCATCCATGAACAACAGAACACAGTGGAGAGTTAAGTGGTATTAAAATGAACATTAGAACTCTTCTCTGCTAATGTTCAGTGCATTATTATTCACTTAAAAATTAAACAAGTTGTAGCATACAATTAATAAATTCAAAATCAAGTGATGTCCTCGTGTCGATTATTATTATAATCACTGGGGAAGCATTAAACCCATAAGGGTCATACAGCATCAGAGGAATCAGCTTTAATACAAGAGGGTAGTGGCTCTGCTTCCAAGAATCAAGAGCCCTTCATTAGCATCTATGGATCCTCCCCCAGGGGTCTTAGCTTATTATCTCAAAGACAATGAGAGAGCCTCTGAAGCATCACCTGATCATAATGTTTTAAGACAATGAGAGAGCCTCTGAAGCATCACCTGATCATAATGTTTTAAGACAATGAGAGAGCCTCTGAAGCATCACCTGATCATAATGTTTTAAGACAATAAGAGAGCCTCTGAAGCATCACCTGATCATAATGTTTTAAGACAATGAAGAGAGCCTCTGAAGCATCACCTGATCATAATGTTTTAAGACAATAAGAGAGCCTCTGAAGCATCACCTGATCATAATGTTTTAAGACAATAAGAGAGCCTCTGAAGCATCACCTGATCATAATGTTTTAAGACAATGAGAGAGCCTCTGAAGCATCACCTGATCATAATGTTTTAAGACAATAAGAGAGCCTCTGAAGCATCACCTGATCATAATGTTTTAAGACAATAAGAGAGCCTCTGAAGCATCACCTGATCATAATGTTTTAAGACAATAAGAGAGCCTCTGAAGCATCACCTGATCATAATGTTTTAAGACAATGTTGCTCACATTAAAGGCATTCATAAAGTTGTCATATATGTTTTGAAGACATCTAAGTTAACCTTTTGATAGCATGTACTTATGTATAATGTCTTTAAGAAAATTAGAGACTTTTGATGATCATTACTTATTCATATCATGTATTTAAGAAAAGTTGTACATTAAAGACATTCATAAGATTTGTTCTTATTATGATCATGTACTAAACTCGCTATTAATCAACTTTATGTATGATCATTGTACTTTATGTATGATCATTGTACTTTATGTATGATCATTGTACTTTATGTATGATCATTGTACTTTATTCTAAAGCCAAAAGAGATGCAATGCAAGAAATTTTGCAGCATTCACAAAGCAACACTTTTAAGTAAGTACAGTATACATGTGTATATGTATGTACTCACCTATATGTGGTTGCAGAGATTGAGTCATAGCTCCTGGGCCCTGTCTCTCAACTTGCCAGATTCACTCTCTCCTAGCCTCATAGGCCCTGTCATAGCTCCTGGCCCTATCTCTCAACTTGCCGCTTACCAGATTCACTCTCTCCTAGCCTCGTGGGCTCTGTCATACCTATTCATAGCACTATGTATGGAGCCTGCCTCCACCACTTCTTCAAACAGGTCATTTCACTTCCCAACCACCCTTAACTGAAGAAAAATACTTCCTGACATCCCTGTGACTCATCTGTGTCTTACTTCTAGCTAAATTACCTGTTTCCTATCTCCCAAACAAGCTGTCTCCGACTGCCCTATCAATTCCTTTGAGTATTTTGTATGTTGTTATCATATCTCTCTTGGTCCTTCTGTCCTCCAGGGTCATTTCAATTATGTACGCGTGTGTATGTGTGTTCTAGGTAGTAGGCTGGTAGACAGCAACCACCCAGGGAGGTACTACCATCCTGTGGTAGTAGGTTGGTAGACAGCAACCGCCCAGGGAGGTACTACCATCCTGCCAAGTGAGTGTAAAATGAAAGCCTGTAATTGTTTTACATGATGGTAGGATTGCTGGTGTCCATTTTTCTGTCTCATAAACATGCAAGATTTCAGGTACATCTTGCTACTTCTACTCACACTTAGGTCACACTACACATACATGTACAAGCATATATGTATATACACACACCCCTCTGGGTTTTCTCCTGTTTTCTTACTAATTCTTGTTTATTTCCTCTTATCTCCATGGGGAAGTGGAACAGAATTCTTCCTCCGTAAGCCATCCGTGTTGTAAGAGGCAACTAAAATGCCGGGAGCAAGGGGCTAGTAACCCCTTCTCCTGTATATATTACTAAGTGTAAAAGGAGAAATTTTCGTTTTTCCTTTTGGGCCACCCCGCCTCGGTGGGATACGGCCAGTGTGTTGAAGAAAGAAAGTGTATGTGTGTGGACATGCATGCTCACAAGTGAACATGCACGCACGCATGCGCACATGCGCACACACACATGCACACACACACGCACACGCACGCACACACAACACACACAGTTTGGAACCCACACCTAGCCAAGCACGTAAAGAAACTAGAGAAAGTGCAAAGATTTGCAACAAGACTAGCCCCAGAGCTAAGGGGTATGTCCTACAAAGAGAGGTTAAGAGAAATCAACCTGATGACACTGGAGGACAGGAGAGATAGGGGGGACATGATAATGACATACAAAATACTGAGAGGAATTGACAAGGTGGACAAAGACAGGATGTTCCAGAGATGGGACACAACAAGGGGACACAGTTGAAAGTTGAAGAACACAGAAGAATCACAGGGATGTTAGGAAGTATTTCTTCAGCCACAGAGTAGCCAGTAAGGTAGTTGGAATATCACATAATAGCTTTAAGCAGAGACATGCCGATCAGTAGTGGAGCTAGTGGCGACCATGAAGAGGCTTTGCAGAGGACTGATCGACCCCTGC